TTAAAGTAAAGGAATGAATAATTTCTAGAAAAATCAATAATATTGAAACTGAATTTGATGTTGAGAGGTTGGGTAGTATTTTAAAAGTTCCTACAGAAGGCTATGAGGCTTATGTTAAAGGGAAGTTAGGTAAGAAGGTGGGAAATTATCTAGGAGGTGATATAGTTGAGTTCCATGAAGGAAAAAGGGGGGTAAACACCATGAATCGCAACAATTTTAGCCCCATGAACAAACTGTTGTTTAATTTGGTAAAGAAGGTTATCCTGCCCAGAACTCAAAAGAAAGATGAAGCAAAATTGTTGGATATGACAATGATCTTTTTTCTGGTGAAAATGATCAAAATTAATTTTCCTTCTCTAATGTATCAAAACTTAGCTCACTGCATTCCTAATAGGAATAAAGTAGGTTATGGTGCTCTACTCTTTATTATATTTGAAGAACTTGGAGTGAAACTCAAGGGAGTTTATGGAAGGTTGCAAGAGAAAGCAAAGAATGATATCAATGAAAAGACATTGTAAGGGTTGAGCTTGACTGTTGTAAAAGGAAAACATCAGAAGGTAGAGGAGAAAAAGAGTGAAGCTAGTGGAGGAGAACCTGTGACAAAGAGTAGAAGGCTGAAAGCCAGTTCCTTCCCTAAGATCAGCATGGAGGAGCCACTGGAACTTGATGAGGAGGATACAAAGGTGATGGTTGGGCAGGTTGCTAAACTCTCTGACAAAGTGGAAGTTGCTGAGAGACAACTCAAAGATGCTTTAGGGAGAGTTCAGAAGCTGAAAAAGAGTGTACAGGGTCTTGTGAAGAGTCTTAAAGGACAGAAGTTAGAGTTCCAGAAGGCTATCAAGAGTCTGGAAGAGAAGTTGGAGGCCAGCAATGAATTACAGAAGGAGGACAACAAGAATATCCATGAGCTTCTTCAAGATTGACCTAGCTTACCTTAAAGCCTACCCTAGCCTAGCCTAATCCTAGCCTTTCTCTGTTTATGTCATGAACAATTTCTTTTGTTTTTGTTAGGTTTGATATTTTGCAAAATTTGGTCTATAATTTCTAAAATAGGGTGATATTTTGATGTTTTAATGTTAATTTGGAACCTTGCTTGTGGGTTTTGTATATTATGAACTTATGTGCAAGATTGTGTGAAAGGACTAGCTAAAGGGAGCCAGTCAGCACTGCCTTTAGTTTCCCACACTCGATGAATTGCTTGTGGGGTTGTCGCTAGATGTTTAATAACTTGAATTGCTGGACTTTTTGATAATGCCAAAAGGGGGAAAAGAAGAAGCAAACTTGAAAGTGAAAGTTGTTCTGGGTTCCAGCTGATAAAGTATTAGAAATTTCTCTGATGCCTTGTATAAAGTAGCTTAGTTTTGTTCTGTTTGTTCTATTTACTTTTTTTTCTAAGTTTTTTTTTCTTCTTTGGTTTTGTGTGTTTTATTTTTCTTGGTAAAAGAATAAAAAATACGTTCTTCTATTCTATTTAACTTTCCTACTAGAATTTTGCGAAGTTTGTCATCATAAGAAAGGGAGAAATTGTTAAAGCTTAAGAGTTTTGATGATGATGAATAAAAACAAACTTCAACTAATGTGATTTCTCTTAGTGTTGTAACTAAAACAGGTGAAGTTGACTTTGGAAGTGAAAGAGTAATCTGACTATGAAGACACAAGGAGACTCCAAGGAAAGTTAAAGAAAGTAGAAGAAGAGTACCTCAGTGGAACTAACTGAGTTCCCTAACAAGAACATGAAAAGAAGCTCTCTAACAGGAGCTTGACAGCAAGTTGAGAAGTTTGACTTGGTCTGCGTTGAAGACAGCAAGTTCTATAAGAACATGGCCTGCGAAGTTCCAGCAAGGAGCTAGAGAGTCAAGGACAGCAGGAACTCAATCCTGGTCCGCGTGAAGCCTAAGTATCCTAAACAATACAGCATATGATGAGATAATCTAGCTAGAGTATTTGAGTCTTTTTGTTAAGTTTATTTATCTAAGAATTATTGTAAATATGTTAGGTTAGTTTATGCATGGAATTTATTAGAGACGTGACAAAGCTTGGCAAGCCTTAAAAATGGAAAGTTTATAAAAGATAAGTTTTCAATTTATGAAAAAGATTTTCTAAAAATTTGTACAGAATCCGGTTTTACATAATGTTATTCTTTTCATAAATTATATTTTTGATAAGTTTTCCAAAATGATTTTCTTTACAAAAGATTTACATAAAATGTGTTTGTGAAATTGGTAATTTCATAGTCTCTATCATTTTGAAAACCCTACTTTACATACGAGTACTTCTTGTATATAAAGTAGAATTCATAATTTACACAACTTGTGAGTTTATGCGTGAAGAATCTGAAGAGAGCTTTGAGTGTAAGTTGCCAAGTCTATCATATTGGTTTCGGATTCCATGTGTAGCTTTCCTATCACATATTAGAGTAAAAGAGTTTGTATTGTTTTGGTTTGGGTGAGTGTTTAGCTTATTGCATACAGATTGTAGGCTTTTAGGTTGAAGCTGAGTGAGTAGACATTCATGGAGTGTCGAGTAGAATCTAAGTCTTGGATTTAGATTAGGTAGGATAGGGTCCTATCAAGTAGCAAGGTCAGTTAGGAACTTGTGAGTAAAGGTTTGATTATAATAGGTTGTAACTAGGAGAGTTTGCCCTATTATAGTGAAGTGCTTTAGAGTTTGAAATCCCTTAGAGGGTTGAGGTTTTACTTCCAGTTGGGCCTTGGAAAATTTCCTCATACTGGAAGGTGTCCTCGTAAAATCTATTGTGCTTTGCTAAGTTCCTTTATATTCTGTTTTAATTCCGCAAAAGTAGTGAATAGGCATTAACATACAATTCACGCCCCCTCTTGTATTGTTCGTCTCAATTAACAATACTACAAAGGATACTACTCCTCCTTTGACTATCACGATCGAGGATATAGTAAAACCTTAGGGTGTTACACAATATTAGTAGTACTTTTTTTTTTTTTTGAATAGAGTGTAATCACTACTAAAAGTTTTTTTATTTTTATTTTCTACTACTATCTAAGTTCTATGATGTACTTTTTGAATGCTTTGGAATAAAGAGAGCTCTTTTATTTAATTAGTTATTTTATTTGACAGGATCAAAGATTGCCTACATATTTGTATCACGAAATCAGGTATCATAATACTTGTGCAAATTAATTTTTTTTTCTTTAATCCTACTTGTAGGAATTAAATGAAAAATTAATCAAACTTTGTTTAATAATTAAAATCAAAGCTTAATTTTTTTTTCGAATATATATAAGAATTGAATACCCCTGTGTTTTATCGCTAGTAAAAATCGGAATCAATCTTTTTCGAGTGTAAAACATTAAGTTCGCAGTTCGTCATCGGATGGCGCTTGCGCGCAACTAATTCAGTTGCGCGTGGCAGCCTGGCGTAACCTTGTGAGTTGTGTGTGGCACCTGTGTTGCGAGTGTTATTTTTTCAACCAAGGTTTGAAACAAGTGAATTTTTTTTATATATCTTATTTACTCTCCCAAGTGTGAGGAATTTTTGGTGGAGTTCGAAAAAATCTGAACACTTGAATGGCTCGTTTCGATTGACATTATTTTTTTTGTCTACCCCCCCCCCCCACCAAGTGTTATGAATTTAACCGTGGAGTTCGGTAAAATTTAACACTTAAACGAGAAATTTTTATTATTATTAATTTTTTTTGGTCTACCCCCCCACCCCTAAGTGTTATGAATTTTACCGTGAAGTTTGGTAAAATTTATAACACTTAGAATCTTTTATTTGAATTCTATAAAATTTGATTTAGAATATTTGTATGAACGAGTTTATCCAGAATTCTTATGTAATATTTTTTAAGGCGATCGATATTTATTAGTTGACGGATTTCGTCACCACCAATATCTATTAATCTAACTGCCCCTCTTGATAGAATTTCAATTACGCGGTACGATCCTATCCAATTGGACTTAAATTTCCCTCTTGGATTAGTTGGAGGACCTCTAACCTCTTTTAGTACAAAGTCACCTTCTTTAATATTACAAGGCCGTACCCGTTTATTAAAATGTCGCGCAATGCGTTGTTGGTAGACTTGTACATGATGCAAAGCTTTTAATCGTCGTTCATTGAGGAATAAAAGCTCTATTGATGTTCGTATGGACGTTCTATTGATGTTCGTATGGACGTTCTATAAACCCTAAGAGCAAAGTGTATTTTATTCGGCCAGTTTTTATAATGTTCTACCATTTTCTTAATTATGACAGTTATGTTTTTGTTTACTGATTCTACTGCTCCATTCATTTGAAGTCGATATGGGGAAGAATGATGATGTTTTACATTATAACGAGCCAAGAGGGATTTAACTTCTGCTTTGATTTTAGATCCCTGGTCACTAATTAGATCGTGTGGAACTTCATATCTGGAAAATATGCTTCGTTCGAGAAACTTTGCGACATGTTTAGAAGTTATATTAACGTAAGAGGCGGCCTTGATCCACCTACTGACGTAGTCGATGGCTACTAATACGTACTCGTGTCCTCCTGTTCCTGTTGGAGAAATTTTACTAATAATGTCAATTCCCCAAGTTGAGAATGCCCAAGTGGAAGTGAGATTATATAGTTCGGATGGTGGAAGATGTTGTACGTTAGCAAACATTTGGCAATCTGAACATTTGTTGACATATTGGATGCAATCATGTTCCATTGTGGACTAATAGTACCCTAAACGTGAGATTATTTTGGCGAGCATTTTTCCATTAATGTGAGGTGATAGAGTCATAAAATATAATATTTATATCTATTAAACTCTTGATTTTATATTGATATTTAATGGTTTAATGATATATTAAGTAATTTTCTTCCCGAGACACGTACTACTACAAATTTTATTTATTTGTGTGTAGGAAAGAAAGTATTGGTACAAATTGCATTTTACGACACTTCCGGTTAAGAGAAGTAAATTGCAAGTGGTTGACTCTCAAGTATTTCAAGCCCAAAATTATTTTACTGGGTAAACATTTATAGTTGGGCTAAAAATATAACAATATGTCACAGAGCTCAAAACTCTTCTTTGTTCTCACTGTTATTGCCTTTAACACACAAAACAAACCACCTTGAGCGAAATTTCTGGGATTTAAATGTCAAGCAAGGGATAAAGATGAAAGTGGATAATAATTGGAACAAGAAACTCGGATTAGCTGGAGATCAGCTACACCGAAATAGAAGGGAGGCTGTATTTCAGCAGAAAACGAAGGGGGTTTGGAGGGTACCAAATGACAGAGGAAGGAAGTTGAATTGCATGCGAGAAGAGGTGACAGTCTGGGCAGCAAAATTCAGCAACACAACCAGAACGAACTCAGAGCAGCAGTGCAGCGGCGGTGAAGCGAAGTAGCCAGAGTCAAGGTGACTTAGTTGTGTTCCGTAATTTTTCATTTGCTACGGGAATTGCTGGGCAGCGAAATTTATAATAGAACCCGAAGAAAAGCTGCAGCGTTTTGGAGCTCCAATTGCTACAAAATCAGCAAATTTAGTGAGATTGAAAACAGTACTTTGGAGCGACATTTTCGAGGATAGCCGGGTGGTGTTCTGGTAGTAGCAACGAAACTTGGTTGTGAGTACCGTTCATGGTTCTTTCATCCATCAATTTGGTACTCTTAGTTTAATTGACAGTTTATAAATTTTGCGTCAAGAATTTCAATTCATGGATAATTGTTAAGTTAATTTTTGTCTTTAATATTTCATTCGGTTATTAGATTTTATCAAATAATTTTACAGTTTATCTTATTATAGTTATTTATCTTCTACTTCAGAAATATGATTTATGTAAGTGTCATTGTTAGTATTTCAATTCTGAATATGTTAGGCTAGATTTAATACGGGACGGAGATATAGTATACATTGGATTATTGTGTTGTGAGAATAAGAGTGTTATTATTTGAGCTTATTATGTTTATATATTGATTGGAGTGATAATCTGTTGTATTGATATAAATTAGTTGAGTTATATTTTAGACTGGCCATCTTGAGTATAGTTTGCTAGTTTAATTGCTATAATATTTATTTGTGATACGTAATTGTCTGGATTAATATTCCTTAGTAGCCCTTAGGTGTTTGATGGGTGACTGAAGCTTGTCCGATTCCTATGATTATCAAGCCTTTAAGTTGCACAAATCCGAGCTTGTGAGATTTGTGGCTTAAGTTAGCTACTTCCTTACTAATTAACGCTGCTAATTAATCAAGTCTAGAGAGCTTGTTCTAGATTGTTAGTTAGTTAGACAATATTCCAAGAGCTTGTTTGGTTTACTTGCAATTAAGAGAAGTTTTGGATACTAGTTGGTATTCATTAGTTATCATCAAGATATATGCATGATTTATGTAATTTGATGAACAATTGGTATTCCAATGCTATAATATATCTGCCGATCCCTATTTTGTCATTCTTGATTTTTAATATTTATTATTACTTTTAGTTATATATCACCGTACTAAGCTCATTTTCAAGTCCGTAGTTTTATATATTAGCTCATCTTTAAATCAGGGGTTTTTAACATACACAAGTAATAATTTGATAATCTAATTCTCAGTGGGATCGACCCTAGCTTACCCTACTACATTTTAGGAGGTTTTAGTTAGGTTTTTTTTGGTAGACACGCGATAGTTGTATCAAATTTTGGCGCCATTGCCGGGGAATTGGCCTTTTATTACATTATTACACTAGTAAAAAAATGAATTAGGCAACACACCTTTGGCACCGATTCTTGAAAACCGGTGGCAAAGGAAATGGGCGAGATATGCTTAATGACTTTTGGCACCGGTTCCTCTTAAACCGGTGCCAAATCAACTAGTTGGCACCGGTTCAAACCGGTGCCAATTACAAGGAAAAAAAAAAGAAAAAAAAAAGCAGAAAAGGGATTTAGCACCGGTTCTAAACAAAACTGGTGCCAACTGTTTAAAAAAATTCGGGTTAATGCTAACTTTCTTCTTCTTTCTTTTTCCCTTGCTTTCCCTCTTCTTCGTTCGTTCTGCTCTTCTCCTTATGCACTCCATAGAATCAGCTAGCATTTTCGCATCCCTTTCCATCTCGTTTTCCCTCCCATTTTCGCATCTCTTGCTCATCCCTCTCCTAATCGTTTTCCCTCTCATTTTCGCATCTCCTGCTCTTCCCCCTTGATTTCCCTCTTAGTTTTCGCATCTCCTTCTGCACTCCATTGAAGCAAGTCTCTCTCTCCATTGAAGTGGTTTACGCACATTCTCACTCCATTGAAGCAGCACCTACATTGAACCAAGCCTGGCCTCCGTTGAACTCACGCCATTGAACAACTCACGCCATTGAACGTGCTCTATATTCTCCATTGAGGCCGATTATGAGCTTTCTCACTTCCATTGAACAAGCTTCGAGGTAAGGTATTTCTTGTGGTTGTGCGAATTCATTGATTTTCTTTTGCAATCTAGGGTTTTTTGTTGATTTTCTGTTCAATTTAGTAATTTCAGGGTTATGGTAATATAGGGTTTGTAGTGTAATTTGCATCTGTTCAAGACTACTTTGTAGTGTAATTTGCATATGCTCTTTTTCTTTATGAATTGGTTCAAGAGCAGCGTTGTTGAATTCTGCTAATGTAAGTTGCTGGTTTCTACAGAGGCTTTTGGGTGCCATGGCGTAGTTGCTGCCATGTGACATTCTGGTAGAATGTTAAGACATTTGCTCGAGACCGAGACTATAGCTGAGGTGTTACTCATGCTAATATTTCGTATATTAAAGTGTTAGAATACAAATTTTGTATAAATTCTTTCTTGTATGGTGAGTTTGATTAAGATCAATGCATAACCCCAGACTTTTGTTTTTTGTTTTAAATTTTTATAGATTCATATGTGAATTGAAGCACATGTTTATAAGCTTGAAGACTACACATTTCGCTCAAGTGAGAAGTTAGAAACAATACATCCATTGTACTTGCTATATTAGTATGAATTATACACTTTACTAATAAGCTATATTTCTTTCTCTTTATTGTTTTAATAAAAGTTTTTTCATGCTATTACGACTTGTGTATTATTTAACGACAAATAAATACAACAATATATGAAATGCTTGCATCATCATACGCCTAGATACCCGTTCAAGGCTTTCTCATTAGGAGAAAATCTTAAATAGCCTTCGGTTGGGACTGTTCTTGAACGTTTACTCTCACTTAGGTGGTGAATGTATGTCTTTTTTTTCGATTTTAAGGAACATCTTGGCTTACTATTTCCTCACCATGTTCTCTGGGTACATATGTGGGTAAGTTATTACCTACATCGTGTACTTGGAGAACTGGGGGGAAATGCTGCCGGATTTTCCATAAAATTGAAAAGTCGACATATATTCACTAGTGAGATTACACGTTCAAGGATGGGTTAGGTTGGAGTGATAAGGACCCTTTGGAAGCATATATGCACTTTTGTATCTATATGAATGTTATATGTATGGTGTGTGTTTGAATTTGATTTACATATATAATAGATGTAGCAATTATACATTATTCGTAATATGTTGCCATGTTTAGAGATAATTTACTTAATGGAGAAGGATCGTGGCTGGATGTATGGTAGACGTGATACATTGGAATTCTTTGATGGGGTTCAAGAGTTTTGCGAGAGGGCTTCATCTTATCAGCGCAGAATGAGTGTTGATTGGCTCTATTGTCCTTGTGTTGATTGTAATAATGTGAAGGTGGTCAATAATGTTGATATCATTAGAGATCATGTACTTTGTCTTGGGTTTAGGCTTAAATACTATGTGTGGATTTGGCACGGTGAAGAAGGAGAGTACAATGGGGATGTTGATGGGAATGATGTGCATGATGATAGAAGCAATGACATTCGTGTGGACGAGGAATATAGGAATGATGAACATATTATTGTTAATGGTGATGAGGCTTGATTTGAGGATGATCAGGTGGATGAGGTCGAGGATGAAGGGGTGGATGAGATGATGTGTGATGTTTGAGTCATTATCAGAGGCTTCTAAAAAACCTTTGTATCCTGGGTGCAAAAAAATACTCCAAACTATCAGCCGTGCTAACACTTTTTAAGATTAAGTTGAAGCATGGGTCAACAGACAGTAATTTTACTTCTTTGTTGACCGCGTTAAGTGAGATTTTGCCCGACGGGAATGAAATTCCTAAGTCTTACTATTACGCAAAGAAGCTCATGTGTCCATTTGGTTTGGAGTATAAGAAGATACATGCATGTCCTAATGATTATATTCTTTATCGAAACAAATATGAACAATTGGAGGAGTGTCCACATTGCAAAAAGTCGCGCTACAAGCGCATGAGTTGCAATGTTGGTACAAAGGGACCTCCTGCTAAGGTTTTGTGGTATCTTTCCATTATTCCAAGGTATAAGCGTCTATTCTCAACACCAAAAGACGCTAAAATCATGAGGTGGCATGCAGAGGGAAGAAAGAAAAACAGAATGCTGAAGCATCCAGCCGACTCCCCGCAATGGAAGAACATTGATATGAAGTTTGGGGAATTTGGTGATGAAGTCAGAAATTTAAGGCTTGGTTTGTGCATGGACAGGATGAATCCATTTGGCACTCTTAGTACCCAACACAGCACATGGCCAATACTTTTAGTGATCTACAATTTGCCTCCTTGGTTGTGCATGAAACGAAAATACGTAATGCTTTCACTTTTGATAACGGGTCCAAGGCAACCTGGAAATGACATAAATGTTTATCTTGCGCCACTTGTTGACGATTTGAGAAAGATGTGGGACAAAGGGGTTTCCGTTTTTGATGCTTATAAGAATGAGATGTTCACATTGCGTGCAGCTCTTATGTGGACCCTTAATGATTTTCTTGCATATGAAAACTTGTCTGGTTACAAGAACAAAGGAAAAAAATCATTCCCCATTTGTATTGATGACACCCCAAGCATATACCTTGATAATTGTCACAAAGAGGTGTACGTGCATACTCGAAGGTTGCTCAGGAGCGATCACCCGTACTGTAGACATAAAAAGGCTTTCGATGGGAAAACGGAAAAGGGAACTGCGCCTAGGCCATTGACTGGTGAGGAGGTTTATGCTCGAGTTAAGGGTATACGAACAGTATTTGGGAAAACAGAAAAAGCTGCCGACTCAACTACTCTCTTTTAAAAAAAAATCAATCTTTTGGAAGCTTATGTACTGGAAAAAACATGACGTTAGGCACTGTCTTGATGAAATGCATATAGAGAAGAATGTGTGTGATGCTCTCGTGGGAACGCTGATGAATATTCAAGGCAAAACAAAGGACGAAAAGGGTGCACGGTTAGAATTGGAAAAGATGGGGGTTCATCCAGAATTGTGGGCTTAGAAAAAGGTTAGAAAGGGAAAGGAACAGGAAACGGAAAATGAAATGAGTTCGAAAAAAGGAAAGGGGAAGAGCAAGGGAAAGAGAAAGGCCACAGATGCGTTGAAGAAGAAATATGCGGGAAAAGCCAAGGATGTCAAGACTTATTTACCTCCAGCTTGCTACACATTGTCAAGGGTAGAAAAATTGATGTTTTGTGCATGTCTGTACGGCATTAAGGTTCCATCAGGGTACGCATCTAACATGAAAAGATTTGTATCCTTAAATAGAGAATTGAAGCTAACAAGTATGAAATCCCACGATTGTCATGTTCAGATGCAAGTATTCCTACCAATTGCAATATGTGGTATTTTACCAAAGCACATGAGGGAAGCTACTACAAGCCTCTATTTGTTTTTCAATACAATATGCAGAAAAGTGTTTGATCCTTTTACACTTGATTCTTTACAGGCGGATGTGGTTGTGACTTTGTGCAAATTTGAGATGTACTTCCCACCCTCATTTTTTGACATAATGGTGCATTTGATTCTTCATTTGGTGCGTGAGATTAAATTGTGAGGTCCAGTGTTCATGAGGTGGTGCTATCCTTTTGAAAGACACATGGGAACATTGCAAAATAAGGTAAGGAATCAGGCTCACCCGGAAGGAAGTATGATTCAAGGGACCGTGGCTGAGGAGATTGGTAATTTTGTGGCCGACTATAGAGCCGTTGCTGAACCTATTGGTATTCCTACTTCTTGAAATGAAGGGAGACTTGATGGTCATGGCACAATCGGGTCGAAAGGAATGTCACCTGATCGAGATAAGTTCTTACGAGCACACCTACATGTGTCGCACCATGTTGCAGATGTTCACCCATATTTAGACGAGCACATGGCTAGTTTGCGTGATGAATTTCCATCGAAAGATGAAAGGGAACTGATGTAGTTGCATAATAAGAAGTTTTTGAGTTGGTTTCATGATCGAGTGATGGGTGGAATGGATGAGAGTGTCACAGATACAGCAAGGTGGCTTGCTTATGAACCTAGGGATGATGTTCGCTCATTTGAGGGATATGACATAAATGGGTACACACTTTGGACTGAGCGTCAGGATTTGGAATCTTCCTCGACCCAAAAAAGTGGTGTAACGCTTGTGGCATCGTCAAGGGAGTTTGCAAGTGCTAAGGATAAATCACCTCGTTGATGTAGAGTTATCATACTATGGTCGAATTCAAGAAATATGGGAGCTTGATTATTGTAACTTCGTGGTTGCTCTTTCCCAATGTAAGTGGGTTGATAATATCAGGCGTAACGTCAAATATGATGACTTTACTCTTGTAGATCTTGGCCATCTAAATGATTGTGCGGAACCATTCATCCTTGCATCTCAAGCTAAGCAAGTGTTTTACGTAACCGACCCAGCCGATTGAAAATGGTCTATTGTGCTAGCTGGAAAAAGAGGAATCCTAGGCATTGGAGATGTCGAGGATGAGGAAGAATATGATGCGTTTGATGACTCGGCACCTTTCACTGTTCCTAGACCTGTTGTAACAAATGACATAGACGACCAAGCCAATTATATGCGATCAAACCACAACGAATGAAAGTGTAATATTAGATTGAGGTAATATTTTTCAGCAATTTTGAAATTGTAGGCGTTAAAAGTTTAAATCACAGGTTAGGTGAAAATGAATGAAAGTGTTAAATTACTTGCCCATTTTTCACATTTTCTTTTAAATGAATGAAGTAACTTTTAAAACATTTGAAATATGGAATAAAAACGACCTGCAGTTGCCCATCTTCTATGTTGATTTGTATTATAATTCAGCAATTTATATTTGATTATAACTTTACCTTTCAAATTTATTTATATTACAACTAATAACGTGTTATGTTTGTAATGGAAGATGTTTACATCTCATGGCGGACGATCAGGACCGTATTTGTGTCGAGGATGTAGAGGATGATGATGATTTTACTGAGGATGAGGACGAGCTGTATGATGTGAACAAGGAGCCTGATTTGGGTGAGGCAGAAGATCAGGCTTAGGATGAGTTGGAGCGTAAGCTTGATGACTTTGAGATTTTAGCTGAACAAGCGCCTCCTATCAATAATGCAGTTTCTGAGACGGTTGGTGAGAGCCCTACTTCCCGCACTCAAAGCCAAGGACAAAGTGGAGGAGGGGTGAAGGCACCGGCTAAGAAAAAGGCGAGGGGTCCGACGACAAGTTTGAAGAAACCCGTCGGTCCCATGGCCTTGGATTATAACAAGGCAGGCCAACCTACAGGCAAATGGCGTCGCCAATACGCTATTCACATTGGGATTTGTGCGCGCAAAATCCCCATTCCTCTTGGTTGGCAGGAAGTGTCTTCGGGCAAGTGTTTTGTTTGCACACAATTATGAATACCTTCACTATATTGTTATTTAAAAGGGGAAACTAATAATCTCTTTTATTTGTGCTTGCAGAGTGTGTTTAACATTCCTAATGATGCCGCCAAGCGAAGGGTGTTTGAATCTTTACTGGCGGAAAGATTTAGAGGCTTTAAGACCCTCTTAGTTCGTACGTGGATCACAAAGACAAGGGTGAGAAGACCAAAGAAAAAAAAAGGAGGTTGCAATGATGATGAAGTCATCGAGGAAGAGCAACTCCCCTGGCAAAAATGGCCAAGCGTATCGAAGGATGATTGGAAAGCTTTCGTTCTTCAAAAAAGTAAAAAGGAAGCAATTGTAAGTTTAAGTAAATCTGATTGACAATTGTATAATATATTAACTCTTTTTTAAGTAATGATACTAACATGTCTAATTATGTAGGAACTGAGGGAGCAAAATTCCAAAAATGCAATGCAGAGGCAATACACCCATCGTATGGGGCCTAAAACATTTGGTGAATGGAGGGAAACGTGGGTGAAGGAGGATGTATACCCCACTGCGCTTCTAGGTTACTCCAAAGAAGCCTCTGATTCCATGACCAATACGTTGGTGAGTAGTGCTAGCGATTTAATTTGTTCTCTGCATTCGCGTGACAAGAAAACCGGAAAATGGGTCATCAATGCTCCGGAAACCAAAGAAATGGCAGATAAACTCGTAAGAAACTATGAACTAGTGTACATTATGAAGCTTTAGCATAAATATCACTTTACAAAAACATTAACTATATTCATGTTGCCTTTTTGGTTTTGCTACAGCTTGAGTACACTGAAGAACTGGTTCAAGGTAAGCTGGTCCCAACACTAGAGAAGGACCCTTTCACCTTGGCTTTGGGAAATCCCTACCATCTAGGACGGGTATTAGGTGCGGGAGGGACCTTGCTAGGATAGGAAAAGGTGATGGGTCCAGAATATACCAAATCAGGAAGATCCCGAGCAAGTGTGAACTCACCGGTTGACTTGGATGCCACGGTGGCATCAATTAAGGAACAAGTGCGCAACGTGATGCGAGAAGAATTCAATTCTTGGGCGAAGAAACTGAACTTGCCGGGCTTGCCTTTCCCCGTGACTACATTGGTCAACTCATGTAGTCACCCACAATGATAAGGAGAAGATGAGATACATGGAGACGATGATAAGGTAGTTTCATATCTATTAGTTTTAGCATATTGAGTTACGTGAGATCTAACGTGGCATTATTAACTTACTATTGCAGGTTTGTACTCCTACACATGCGGACTCGAGGGAGCTTCATAATCCAACACCGGTTCACTTTCCAGAGTTACAGGTAATTGGTTTAGTTCTTTGTAATTTGTTTAGTTCTTTGTAAGCGTTGACATGATAAGATAGCTCTGTATGCTGCTTACGTGTCTGCTGTGTGCCTGTGTCTACCTGCTTCCCCCTGCCTGTCTGCTATGTGCCTGTGTCTACCTGCTTTTGTCTACTGCTTCTGTATGCTGCTTGCGTCTGCTACTACTGTGGTGCTGTTGCTGTTTCTATGTTGCTGTATTGTGCTGTCTGCTACTGTTCTGTTGTGCTGTCTAATGTCTGTTGTGATGTCTGTTGTTACTGTGTTGCTGTTTCTGTGCTGCTGTTGCTATTTCTGTTTCTGTTTCTGTTTTTACTGCTGTTGTTGTTTCCGTTTCTGTTGTTGTTTTTGTTTCTGTGCTGCAATTGTTTATGTGCTGTTGTTGTTTCTGTGGTGCTGTTGCTATTTCTGTGCTGCTGTTGTTGTCTTGTTGTTTCTGTGCTGCTGTTGCTGTGTTGCTGTTGCCACTAGTAGAAAAAATGACAAACGCACCCTACCTTTGGTACCGATTTTTGAAAACCGGTGGTTAAAAAAACGGGCGAGATTTGAAAATAAGCTTTTGGCACCGGTTCTAGCCAAACTGATGGCAAATTATCTTTTCAGCACCAGTTCAAACTGGTGCCAAATAAAAAAGATATTTTATTTTAAAAAAAAGGGGAGAAAGGGACTTGGAACCAGTTCGGTTCGAACCGGTGGGAAATCTATTGTAAAATTAAAAAAAAAAACCTGAATATACTCATCTTTCTTTCTCTTGCTTTCATTTCCTCGATCTTTCTTCCTCTCTCATCTGATCTGCCTCTCTCTCTCTCCTCCATTGAAGCGTACTCGAATTTCTCCATTGAAGGGTCTTCTTGAACCCTCGATCGAAAGGAGTTTCAAAAGTGCTCTTAGCGGCTTCTGACCTTTGTCTCCTCCAATGGTGGTACCATTTTGTTTAGATCATCAACTTCTTGTCTAGGGTTTAGTCTTACAATTTTGTTAATTTGGTATGCTACTCTGTATTCCATTTTCATCAATTTAATGGCGATTCTTAAAATTTTGCCTTGATTTGTGGGTGTCTTTTGTGAATCCTTGACGAAGACGACGATGCCTTCATTCTTCTGGTAATTTCCCCTTTTGTACTCATTTGTTAATTTTTAGGTTTTTGAATGTTTTTTGATTTTTATTAATTGCTTACTTTTTTTAAGATTTTTTTTTGGGTTGAATTTCTATGTTTTCTGTATATTTTTCGACTTTAATTGATTGTTTTATTTTTTGCTTTTTTTGGGTAGAATTTCTAGGGTTTCTGAATATTTTTCGATTGTTATTTTTTTGGTTTTTTTTGGTTGAATTCCTAGGTTTTATGAGGATTATATGAACATTATTTTATATATATATATATATATATATATATATATATATATATATATATATATATATATATTCAGAAAACAAAAATAACAATCAATAAAAATCGAGAAATATTTAGAAAACCTAGAAATATATATATAGTTTTATTAATGGAGTATACACCAATTTGAGTAATGAGATGTGTGCGTTTTGAAATGAGGGTAGGACTGATTATAGGGCTAGAAATCTCATGATAAATTAAGACAAAAACTAAATTTTCAATTACTACTGTAAATTTTCAATTATATGTAAGTAGTATGGGTTGAAAGGAGTGTTTGCACAGAGGAAATACAGTATAATGGTTTGTCAATTTATGCTTGATTGCCAAATTTTTTTTTACTAATACCAATAACGTAAGCCTAATTGATTATAGAAATCCTTTGTTGAATTTCCTTGAAGTCATAAATTTTGCTTCTTTCATAGAATTTTGACTTTGTTATGTACTTTGGCTTAAATTATTAAGCTACATTTCATTGAAATTATACAGCAAGGAAAGAAAGAATGTAGCTTTTCTAGCTTATAGTTTTATCTACTTATCTTGGATCTGATGATGTTGAAGTAAGCCTCTTATATTTTCATTTGTTCTTATTGTGTATTCTTTTTTTCTAAATGGGTGTCACTCATGCCCTGATAACAAGGGGGTGCTGGTTTTATTCGATCACATGCAGCACTAACACTTTTTTAGTGGTAATTCGATGAAATTAGGATGAAATCAGTATTGGGAATTGATGTTCGAGTTGTTATTGTTGGGGTATTGTTTACTTGTTGTTGTTAGAATTGGTGTTCAGATGTTGTTTACTTATTGTTTGAATTGGTGTACGGGTGGGGATGTTGTTTACTTGTTGTTATTCGAACTGGTGTTGGGCTGTTGTTTTCTTGTTTGAATTGGTTTTGGGGTGTTGCTGGATTGTTGTTGTTCGAATTGTTGTTTGAATTGGTCTTGGTATTGTTGTTTTACTTGGATTGAATTGAAGTGGTTGATGCATTAAACTATTGATGCATATTTGGCAAGCATAGTCTGAATTATTTTTTGGAAAGAGAACACACAAATGTTGAGATGTGTGAGTTGTGTGCAGGTAAATGCACTTATGAAGGATCATTTAAATGGAAAAGCAGGAGGATCAAGTGAAAAGTCATCTCAGCCCAGTGCATCAGTTGAACCAAACTCACGTAACTTTGATGATTTAACAGCAAAGGTGTTTGGGCTGTAGAGTTCTTTGCACCTTGGTATGTTTTTGTACGTCTTTTTTTGTTTGAATTGTTAGTTTGAATTCTGATCTTCAAGTTTTTATACTATAATGCATCGATTGTCAGAGGGGGGGATCATCATAGTGAACTTGCTTCATATCTATTATGTTATCTTTGTCTTAATAAATACTGTGCATGAAAATGTTTGTAGAATAGATTTCACTATTCTTGTCAACCATATGTCTATTATTAGTGGCTGCAGGACATGATAGCTTCACTTGAGGATGAAAATTCTTAAAATATAATGTTGTTATTTTTTATTTAAATCATTGATGTTGTTAATATCCTCGAGCAATTGAATTATTTAGCATGGGCGTTAATCCTCATCTCTTGCCTAATATGTGACTAAAGAGAAATTAGAGCAGTTTCTGCTTCATTAAATTGATATGGCCATACTGGCATTACTTCTGCCTATTATTAGCCATATTTTTTACTTAGGCATTACTAATTTAGCTAGCTCAGCTCCTCACCTTTAGGCTCTGGTGCCTCCTGAGAACTTTTTGTCAGCTCATGGAACTCAGTGGATTTTAAATCCTGCACCTTGGTTTTATATTTTATTGTTTGTGAGGAAGGCTCAGAATAATTCGTTGGTTCTGTGCTTGTCTCGGTCGTTGCTGTAGAAGTGATAGCCTCTAAATCCACTGACAAGTCTTCAGGCTCTCTCATTGTTGAATCATCAGTGGTCTGACTATTTCTACTAGTTCTTGCTTTGACAGTGAGTCATCGATAGGTTCATCTTTCAAATTTAGGACTTTAATCTCCTTTTGTTCTTTTTCTGGCACACATATCTCTTTCACTTGTTTTTCTGGCATACAAGCACTTCCGGAAGATTTTGCTGCTTAAAGCCTAAATAACTCAATTTTTTTATGGCAAACCCTTTACCGTGACCTGCTTTTTCTCAACCTAAATGGACCACAGTGAACCCTTTTTCAAATTAGAAAAGGCTGTTATTGCTCTCTCTTTTGTTTAGTTGTGATTTGTGTGGATCTTTTATACTTGCTTCTTATGTATTTGCTTCTTTTTTGATTTTGTGATAGTATTATATCATATATTGATGGTTGAGGTTTGAATTTGTTGTTAGACCTGGTTTGTCAGATTGATCGATGGACTGTTCCTTTTATTTACAGGTTACTGTCAACAAATTGAAGAGGAATTTCTATTTTTTGGGAAGAATGTTTAAATTTGAGGGAAGTGAAGGTATTTTTACGTTTACCATGGCTAATGTGAAACATTGAATACTACAGGCTTTGTTTGTAGCACTATTTACTTTCATGCTGTGATAGTGCCCTGACAAGCCATCTACTTCTTTTGCAGTCCCTCCGTAGAATGAGTCACCCCAACATCATAAAGCTGAAAGAAGTACGAGAAAATAATGAGTTGTTTTTTATATTTGAATATATGGTAAGTTTCTAAGCATCATCTTATTTGCAAACTTGGTAACATATGTAATATTCAGATACTGACTTAACTTTGGTTTTTAACCTAAAAACTCTATAAATTAGCTATGCTTACTGTGTGTGCTTCTTAAATTAGCTATGCATATTAGCTGAGAACTGGATTGAAGTTGAAACTTGGATTGGTGTGTAGATCTAGATTGTCATCGTGGTGGGTTACAAATGTGTTGATCAGAAAACTAATTTGTGTATCTTGTTTTATATATGCATTAAATGAATTTGTATTTAATAAAGTTTGTTTATTTAATCTAAAATTAGTTTGGTCGGTGATAATTCACATTTAAGAAGGTATTTGTGGGAGAATGTTTTGGGAACCGGAAAGCTTTAAACTTTCTTTTAAAAATGTTTTTTGTATCAATGGAGGCATGGATACGTGTTAGGTGTCATCGTTTTTATGCAGTTTTAAGTTAGATGGAGGTATGATTAAGTTGATGGGAAGTTTCATGGTTTCTTTATCCATTAGTAATGAGGAAGCATAGATAACTTTAGCATTCTGTGTGATAAAGGTATTCTGGACATTATAACATCTCCTTTGAGAAGGTTGATGGGAAGTGTCACAGTTTCATTATCTATCAGCAACGGGGGAACAAAAATAAATTAAGCATCCTGTGTGAAGGAGTTATTCTGGACTATAAAGGCACCAAACCTCCAATTTTCTATGAATTAACTCTGAATTTCTGATTCAACCTTTTGTGAATATTTGAGGCCTCAATCTTCAAGCATTGTCTGGTACTTAAACCTTAATCTTTATTACTTTAACTTTATATGAAAAGTTATCCAACTTCTAAGTTTCTAATGATTTATGCCTGTATAGAAGAGAGAGACTTACAAATGTACACTTTGACATTTATTTATATTTTTACTTCCTTATTTATGTTTGAATTAGTGGATTTTGTTTGGTAGTTGCTCCATATGTAAAGAAGCATTGTCTGCCGGGCTAAAGTTTAACATTTTGCTTTTCATGAATAGTGTTGATCTTTAATCCCTTCTTATATAATTGCATGTCAGGTTTGGTTTGCTTGGACTACTGAAATAATAATAAGTGCATCCTTGTTCTTGGCTTCAGGGTGCTGCTGTGCTTGTGGCCTGTGTGGGGTTTAGTGCTTGCCTTTTGAAGCTGTTGCTGCTGTTGTTAGGCTGCCTGTTGCAGGGGTGTTGCTATTTTTCTTTTAGTGTAGCTGCTGCTGGTGCCTAATGTTTTCTGCAGGTTGGTCTGTTGCCACCTGTTGGCCTGTTTTGCTGGGGGTTGTTGCCACCTGCTGCAGTGCTGCTATGTTGCTGAGTTGTCATATGTGTTCAGCATTCAACTGAAATCTCAAGTGTTTTTTTTTTTTTAAAGTGTAATATTACAAGTTATTGAAGAAAATATATGTGTTCTATGTATATTATGATTATATATAAGTATTTGGTACAATTTAAGTGAAAAAAATGCAAAAAAAAAAAAAAAATTATTTTTTTTAGGCATTTTTGGCACCGGTTTTGGAAAAGAACCGGTGCTAAAAGTTTTTTTTAAAAATATTTTGGGGGACTTTTGGCACCGGTTCTAAGTCAAAACCGGTGCCTATTGTATTGAAATAATAAAAAGAATAGCGCGCCATGGGTAATTGGCACCGGTTAACCGATGCCAAATCTTTAAATAGCCACCGGTTTTGAACCGGAGCCAAATCTTTGCAAATCTTCAAAGATTTGGCATCCCTCAAATACCCAACGGTTCAAAATCGGTGCCCATTGGGTGGTTTGAACTGGTGCCTGTTTATGTTTTTCGCTTAGTGTGCTGTCTTGCTGTTTCTGTGCTGCTGTGCCTGTGCTGCTGTTTCTGTGTTGCTGTTTCCGTTTTTGTGTTGCTGTTTGCAGGCTGCTAGTTTGTTATTTTCTGTTTTGAGTGTTGTTGTTTTTGTGTTGCTGTGTCTGTGTTTGTTGGCTGCTGTGTTGCTGTTTACTGTTTGAGTGTGTTGCTGTTTTTTGTGTTGTTTGGGTGCTTCTCTCTACTGTGTGTGTTGCTTGTTTGTGTAGGTGAGTTCGGTGTTGTGGTGTTAACTAGAAAAGTTTTTTGCCTTCACTTGTTTTGTTTTCGGTTTTTTTTTTATTGTTTGTGGATGCTTGGCCACTTGTGATATGTTTGGTGCTCAATTGTAAGTGATCTTCCAAATTGGTGTAGGAAGAGACCCGTTGTGCACTTCTACACCCGGGGATATCAAACAGTGGACCTTTGCAGTTGGTTGCGTATGCTAGTGCACAACCGACCAGTGGTACGGTCCATTCGCGACCGCTAAGGCCACAACATTACTCGGTCGGGATCAATTATGTGGTTGCGGGGTTCGAGTACATCCCAGTACCGGTGCCCGTAGCGGAGGATGGGATGACTACACTCTGGGAAGCGAAAGGTAGCTTTGTGCAATGGCCATGTGATTGGGTAAGGTTGATCAACGAGGTAAGGTTTTGGGTTCACTCTTTACTCTATGCCGGTTGTCTTCACAAGAGTTGGATGGATTTATTTTCTAACCAATTGGGAGATTTGCTATATCAGATTTCGAAGAAAAGCCAAACTTCAAAGAGAAGGAGGGTGGAGTAGCCTAAAAGCATTGATCAAACGGTCGGAGAGTGAAAAAGCGTCGAAGAAGAACTCTTCAAGAGGTTCAGCTATGCAAGCAACTCCACTTATTGCAGACACGGTCCTTCAATCGCTCTCTGAAGATTTAACTTATCTACACAACCGTGTTAGTATGTTGCCTAGTGACACTCTCGTTCAAGTTGCACTACCTAAGGCATTGTTCCACTGTGATGACGATGCAATTGCATGGCTCAGCAAAGAAGATGTGAAGGAATTTCTAAGTGGATCAATGATTAACATTTCCCTCATTCAAACATTCATGAGGTAATTCAATGCCGCTCAAAGTATGTTATTCAGATTAGCAGTGATTGTCGTTTATTTTTCCATTAATATTCTATTATCATGCATGCAAAGCACTACAGGAGCACTTATGTGACATTGATTCGTGGTTATGCCCCGAGCAGAACTCCACACCTAGAATCTTAGGCAACCACCTTGACATGTTGTACTATGTTGAACGGAGTATCAAGGAATCAGTGCGTGCGGGAGATAAGTTCATATTGGCCCCATGTTATGAGGAGTATGTGTAACCATGTCAAATTCATTTGTTTCCCCTGATTATATGTTGTACATGGCTAATAATTGATTTATTTGTCTATTGTGAATTTATGTAGTTTGCATTGGGCCTTGCTAGTGATTTGTGTTTCCAATAACACAATCTTCCTTTTTGATTCAGCTCGATTCCCTCATCCAAAAAAGCTTCTTGTGAAGTCCATACTGCAAAAGTAAATAAAGCTACCTAGTGTTGATTATCATTACCTAACTCATTTATTAGTCATACTAACCAAATTTGAATTTACTTTTCTATAGTGTTATGAAGAAGAAAAATTGTCGAGCTCCTCAAGGTCCCACATGGTAATGCCACATGATATTGTGATTTTCGTAATAAACAATGCGTAAAGAGTTACTAATTTGCTATATATGTATGTTTGATTCATGTTCTTTGTTCCTATGCTAGTGCGCACAACAAGATAACGGATTTGATTGTGGCCTATACGTGATGAGATTCATGTTTGACATAGTGAGTCGTTGTATAGACACACTACAGCTTGATGAGGTATGTCAAATGGGGCTTACATGGGCCAATTTCGATGAAAATGAACCATAAAACACTTAAATTGCTCCTTTCTTGTGATTTCAAGCCTTAGCCGCCTATAATTAAGTAATAATGACATGTTATGAGAAAAAATGAGTTCATTTGACAAGAAATGTAGGAAATAGGCATCCTAGTAGTCAAACATGCCTTACTTGGGCCAATTTGGATGAAAATGAATCCTAAAACACTTAAATTGCTCCTTTCTTGTGATTTCAAGCCTTAGCCGCCTATAACTAAGTAATAATGACATGTTATAAGAAAGAATGAGTTCATTTGACAAGAAATGTAGGAAATAGGCATCCTAGTTGTCAAATAGGCCTAAGTAATAAATTTTTGCCTAACTGAACTTGTAAATGTATTTTTACATGCATAACCTAAGTAATTAATTCTAACATACTCTTTGTTTATTCCAAGTTATCCAAGGTACAAAAGGGAGGTCCGTTGACGAGCAAAGAACTTAATGAAGTTCGAGATATGTTGGCGTCCTTCATTACATTTAACTTGTAAATATCATTTCTATTTGAACTTGTTAACTACATTATTGATTAGTATTGTTCGTAATTATGACACTTTTTTTAAATTAGTATTGCTTGTAAATAGTATTGCATTTGGGATTATTAATTAATATCTATGTATTTTTATTATTTCAATTTACAAATTATTATTATTAATTATAATATTATAAAAATAATTATTTTTATTATTGTGACTGTTATATAATAATTGTAGAATTAATGTAGGATGTACGGGTTCTCATTATTATTATTAGTATTAGTATTAATATTATTATTTATTGGAGAAAAAAAAAAACAAAGTTAAGGGTACCAGTTTAGGGTTCAAACCGGTGCCTATTGTATTGAAATAAAAATAAAAAATAAAATAACACGCCATGGGTAATTGGCACCGGTTAACCGGTGCCAAACAGTGTATTTTGCAACTGTTAACCGGTGCCAAATCTTTAAATAGCCACCGGTTTTGAACCGGTGCCAAATCTTCAGAGATTTGGCATCCCTCAAATACTCAACGGTTCAAAATCGGTGCCCATACGGTGGTTTGAACCGGTGCCTACTTATGTTTTTCGCCTAGTGTTACTTATGTTTTTGCTAATTTTTCCTACTAACTTGTCATCTAGTTCCTTGTTTGTGTATGTGTGACAGAAGCTCGAAGAATCAAAGATTAAGGGAATTTGCAGCAAGGAACCAGGGACTTATAATTCATCCTTTTTCTAATCTCCTTGTAGCTAAAAGGACTCATGCTCAAATACTGAAGCAAGCTCATCATATTCCGTTACCTCACAGTGAAAGTTCATTTTCAGACGAGGAGGGTGAATATATTTTTGAGATGGGTGATCAAACACTAAAGCAGCTCGCAGCTCCAACGTTTGATCCAAATTTATTGTGCATAGTAGACGATGAGGCAGAAATTGAGATCAAGCCTGGGTTGATTAGAGCTCTTCCCACATTTTCAGGTTTCCGTAATACTAACTCCTTGGGTTCAGTTCACATGAATGAGGCTAGCAAATTTTTTAAGGAATTTCACTTAGCATGTGCGGGGATGAAACCAGCTGGGGTCACCCTCGACCAACACAAGTTGAAGGCATTTCCTTTTGCCTTGTCTGATGTTGCTAAGGAGTGGTTGTTTGAAGTACCTGCTGGAACCATCACAACATGGGATCAAATGCTAAAAGTATTCGTAGAAAGATATTTTCTAGCATCTTTGATAGCCAATATCAGGAAAGAAATATGTGGGATTCGACAAGACGATGCAGAGACACTTCATGAGTACTGGGAGCGTTTCAAAAAACTATGTGATAGTTGTCCAAACCATCAGATCAGTGAGCAATTATTAGTACAATATTTTTACGAAGGACTTAGGGAGACAGATAGGAATTTAGTTGATGCAGCAAGTGGTGGAGCACTGGTTGACAAAACACCCGCAGAGGCAAAGAAACTGATTGCAAACACAGCTACAAACTCTCAGTATCGAGGAGGTCGAAATATCAAAACCACTTCTGTACGTCAGGTTAATCAAGTGGTGAGTTCTAACCTCGAGCAACAAATAGCTAAACTCACTTCCTTAGTGGAGCAAGTAATGATCGAAAAAGGGCAAGAAAAAGCTTGTGGCCTCTGTTCAATGGTAAGACACCCAACTGATATGTATCCTACTATGCAAGAAGAACAAGTGAATTCTATTGGTGGTGGTCAGGGGCAGCAAAGACGTTATGATCCGTTCTCTCTGACTCATAATCCGGGGTGGAGAGATCATCCAAACCTGAGATATGGTAATGCTCAACAGCAGGCAGACAACTCTAACCTCAGACCACCAGCTTTCCAGCAGCAGCAAGCATCTAATCCTCCACCTGGTTTTCATCAGCAACCCCAATATCAGCCGCGACCTCAAAATCTGCAAGTTTCCCAGCCACAATCTGGCAGCATGTCTCTGGAAGATATCGTGAAGGCAATGGCTGACAACACTTTGCATTTTCAGCAAGAGACAAGAAGTGGTCTAAAGAACTTGGAGAACCAAGTTTCTCAGTTAGCTATGGGAAAGCTCCAAGCTTAGAACTCTAACAAGCTTCCGAGTCAACCAGAGAGAAATCCGAAGGAGAACGCGAGTGCAATCTCACTTAGAAGTGGCAAGCAATTAGTGATCCCAGCGAAAAAGACTGAAGGGCTGGCAGAACACCAAGAGGAACAGGAGATTATTGTTTTAGAGCAAGATAAGCAGCTCCCTAAGGTAAGTGATGTTGTTTCTCCTAATACTAATCAGTTTTCTTCTTCTGTTCCATTTCCTAGCAGGTTATCATCTAAGAATAAGAAGAAAAAGCAAGAAAAGGAGAAAGAGACCCTAGATATATTTTGCAAGGTTGAGGTGAACATGCCTCTACTGGAAGCTATAAGAAAAGTGCCGCGATATGCAAAGTTCTTGAAGGAGTTGTGCACTAACAAGAGGAGATTGAGTGGAGATGAAAAATATAGTGTAAGTGAGAATGTTTCTGCTGTGTTACAGAGGAAAGTTCCTCCAAAGTGCAAGGATCCAGGTATTTTTACTATACCCTGTAAAATAGGTAACACGAGATACGATAAATGCATGCTAGACTTAGGAGCTTCTGTTAATGTCATGCCTTTATATATCTATAAAGCTCTGAACTTAGGACCTTTGAAAGACACTCGAGTGATTATTCAGCTTGCCGACCGTTCTAATACATACCCTGTAGGAGTAGTTGAGGATGTCTTGGTGCAAGTGAATGAACTGGTATTTCCTGCTGACTTTTATGTTTTTAGATATGCCAAATGATGAATCCCCTAGTGCAGCACCTATCTTATTAGGAAGACCTTTTCTGAAAATGTCCAGAACTAAAATTGATGTTCACAGTGGGGTGTTGACCATGGAATTCGATGGGGAGATTATCCGTTTTAATTTATTTGATGCTATGAGATACCCCTCTGATTGTGAATCTGTTTCTAGTATAGATGTCATTGATGCACTAATTGAGCGAGTATTTTGTCTCTCCGGTCATGATGGGTTAGATATTGTTTTGACTGAACCTGTGGAAAAAGAGAAATATACTGACTTGCAGGAACATTTTGAGCTTGAAGATGAGATCAAGGAAGCTTTCTCTTCTTTAGAAGTGCTTCCAAATAAGCAAGGAAGGTATGCAGATCGTTTTATGAAATTACCTGTCACATCTAACATACTTCTGCCTTCTACTGTACAGGCACCTAGAGTGGAACTAAAGCCACTGCCAGACCATCTCAAGTATGCATTTTTGGGAGGAAATGACACTCTACCAGTTATAATCGCGAGTAATCTAACTCCAACTCATGAGCAAAAGCTGGTGCAAGATCTGAAGGACCATAAAACAGCTCTAGGGTGGACGGTTGCTAATATAAAAGGAATTAGCCCTTCTATGTGTCAGCATAGAATCTTATTAGAAGAGGGAGCTAAACCTATGAGACAAGTGCAAAGGCGACTTAATCCACCTATAATGGAAGTGGTGAAGAAAGAAGTAATGAAGCTTCTTAAAGTAGGGGTGATATACCCTATATCAGATAGCCCTTGGGTCAGCCCCTTGCAAGTGGTCCCAAAAAAGTCAGGAGTCACAGTGGTAGAAAACGATAAGGGAGAAATGGTTCCCACACGAGTTCAAAATGGGTGGAGAGTTTGTGTAGATTACAGGAAACTTAACTCTATAACTCGAAAAGATCATTTTCCTTTACCCTTTATTGATCAATTGGTAGAACGTCTTGCTGGTCATGCTTATTACTGTTTTCTTGACGGATATTTAGGTTATGTGTAGGTACCTATAGCTCCGGAGGATCAAGAAAAAACGACGTTCACATGCCCGTATGGCACATTTGCGTATTGTCGTATGCCATTTGGACTGTGTAATGCTCCAACGACTTTTCAGAGATGTATGGTAAGCATCTTTTAAGATTATCTTGAAAATTTCATAGAAGTTTCAGAGATGTATGGTAAGCATCTTTTCAGATTATCTTGAAAATTTCATAGAAGTTTTCATGGATGATTTCACTATGCATGGAGATTCTTTTGATAGTTGCTTAGAACACCCCACTTTGGTTCTTCAACGTTGTCTTGAAACTAACCTTGTGCTTAATTCTAAAAAACGTCATTTCATAGTTCAACAAGGTATAGTTTTAGGCCATATTGTGTCTTCTGAAAGAATAAAAGTCGATAAAGCTAAAATAGATCTTATTTCATCTCTGCCTTACCCCGCCTCTGTGCGGGAAGTTCGTTCCTTTCTTGGCCATGCAGGTTTCTATCGAAGGTTTATTGAAGGTTTTTCAAAGATTGCACAACCACTATGCAGACTACTCCAAAAATATGTGGAGTTCCACTTTGATGAGGCCTGTAAGCAAGCATTTGACAAGCTAAAAGACAAGTTGGTCACTGCCCCTGTTCTACAACCTCCTAACTAGGAGCTCCCGTTCGAGCTGATGTGCGACGCTTCTAATTATGCTGTAGAGGCAGTGCTAGGCCAGCGGTTGGAAAAGTTCCCCATGCCATCTACTATGCCTCGAGGACTTTGGGTGCGGCTCAAGCTAATTATACTACAACTGAGAAAGAACTTTTAGTTGTATTTTGCTTTAGACAAATTCAGGTTTTATTTATTGGGTACTAAAATTGTTGTGTTTACTGATAATGCAGCGCTGAAATATTTATGGTCAAAGGATGTATCCAAACCTAGGCTAATACGTTGGATTTTATAGCTTCAACAATTTAATGTTGAAATAAAAGATAAAAAAGGTTCTGACAATAGTGTTGCTGATCATTTGAGCAGGTTAGTTATTGAAGCTGATGAAGATAAAGTCCCAATCAATGAAGAGTTCCCTGATGAGCAACTATATGCCTTGAACTCAAGAACTCCGTGGTATGCTGATTTGGTAAATTTTCTAGTATCTGGGAAGTTTCCAGCCAGCTACACTAAAGCACAAAAGGATCGGATGCAGAGCATAGCGAAATATTATATATGGGACGACCAGTATCTCTGGAAATATTGTGCAGATCAATTGATTAGAAGGTGCGTACCTGATTCGGAATTTCTTTCTATACTAACTTTCTACCATTCTTAAGCATGTGTGGGACATTTTGGACCAAAGAGAACCGCACACAAGGTTTTAGAGAGCGGATTCTACTGGCTCTCTATATTCAAAGATGCATATGATATATGTACGACTTGTGATAAATGTCAAAGGACAGGTACATTAGGTCCTAGGAATGAAATGCCCTAAACTCCTATTTTATTTTGTGAAATTTTCGACGTTTGGGGTATGGATTTCAAGGGACCCTTCCCTCTTCTATCGGTTTTCAATATATTTTGCTTGTTGTCGATTATGTCTCGAAATGGGTGGAAGCTGTAGCCACCCGTACTGATGATTCTAAAGTTGTTGCAAAATTTTGGAAATCAAATATTTTTGCTAGATACGGATTCCCAAGAGCCATCATCAATGACAAGGGGACACACTTTTACAATAAGACAATAGGAGCTCTCTTGAAGAAGTATAATGTGTTTCATCGAGTGTCCACTGCGTATCACCCACAAATAAATGGACAGGTAGAAGTTTCCAATCGAGCAATTAAGTCCATTCTAGAGAAGACTGTGAATCCAAACAGGAAAGATTGGAGTCTCAGCCTCAACGATGCTCTGTGGGCGTACAGAACAACGTATAAAACACCGATTGGGATGTCTCCTTACAGGCTAGTGTTTGGCAAACCTTGTCACCTTCTAGTAGAATTGGAACACAAAGCTTTTTGGGCCGTGAAGCAATGCAATATGGAGATGGATGTAGCAGGTGAGCAAAGGAAACTTCAGTTACAAGAGCTAGAGGAAATCCGAAATGATGCTTTCGAGAATGCGAGAATTTACAAGGAGATCGAAGACTAAAGCATTCCATGATGAGCGCCTAACACGAAAGAAATTTACAATGGGGCAGAAACTTCTGTTGTACCATTCTCGGCTTAAACTTTTTCCAGGTAAACTCCGTTCTCGATGGGTGGGGCCCTTTATTATTACCAAGGTGTATGACCATGGTGCGATTGAGATTCGTAGTTAAGAGACCAGGAAGGAATTCAAGGTGAACGGTCATCAACTAAAGCCTTACTATGAGAATTATCAGGTCCAGATCATTGAAATGATGGAGCTAGAGGCTCCAAATTATGAAGACTAGTATGCTGAAAAGACGTCGAGCTAACAACGATAAATAAAGCGCTCTTGAGAGGCAGCCCAATTTTAGGAAATTTTTTTTTTCTGATAATTTTTTACTTTGTTTTCTTGTAAAAATAAAAAATAAAAAAAAAAGAAAAAAAAAAACAGCTCTGATATTTCGTTTGCTCCTATTTTTAAGCCTACTATAATATTCAGGAAACTAATTCTGTTTTTATTTGGTATCAGTTGTGGTAGGACAGTGGGATTGACTAGACACAATGGTGGAGTTAAAGCTGAGCTGAAACAACACCTGCTTATCTCCAATGTGTTTACAGCAAGACTTCGTGAGTAAGTCCAAGCTTGGGGGGATGCCATCACACTAGCTACACAGTCAGTACCCTACAATATTCAACTCATCCAGTGAGTTCGTTTCCTTATCTCTTTCAATTTTTATCCCTTTATTTTTTTACAGTCACACATTGAGGGCAATGTGTGAATTAAGCTTGGGGGGGGGGGGAATGCATTATTTCTGGTCTCTTGCGTTCTCTTGGTATGTCTCTGGGTATGGTATGGTATTGAGTCTGACAATGAAATTTGGACAATGCTTGGCATATTAACAGTACATTCACTCTACAATGCTTAACTTTGGCTGATAGACTTGTATGTATGCAAAGAAAAAAAATAAAAAAAATAAAAATAAAATAAATAAAATAAATTAATTAATTTGATTCCGTAAACAATAGCTAGCCTGGTGGAAGTCAGCTTGTGGTGAAGTAAAAAGAAAGAAATGAGTTAGGCATCAAAGTTTTACACTACATCAGCCAAAAAGCGTACCCATGACATGATTCATTGTTAAACCCAATTTGAGCTTTATAGACCTACTTTTCTTGCGAAATATCTGAGACATGAAGTACTTGCCTATAAGATTTGTAGAGCACATCGAAGGGTAAATTGAATTATCGTTGTGGTAATGATGTAAATTGGTGGTGAAGTTTATATTTTTTATAAGTTTCATGTTAAAGGCTCTACGTACCAATGTATGGGAAAAAAATACAAATAAAAATAAATAAAAATAAAAATAAACCCATATAAGTACGTGTGATGTTTTATGTATCGTGATTGAGTAACTTGTGTTAGTAAATCCGTAGGGGTATCTTAAAACCTAGTGCCTTGGGCCAATTGGACCGGGAGTAACTGGTTGAAAGCTCGCTACATGGGTTGCTTGTCAGATACTTGACACTAAGAGTCATGAAACACTTTCCAAAAAAAAAATAAAATAAATAAATAAATAAATAATTTCATGAATTGGGAAGGGCCTGTGATATGAGTTCTAATGTTGTGGCTGTGGTTTTGTATATTTTGCTCTGCTAATCTTAATCCTTCTTACCACATTCCAAAATGTTATCTAAAAACCTCACTTTACCTTGGCCCTGTTTTATCCTTGATTCATGTCCTAAGGATCTTTGATTTACTCCACTACATTGTTGACGGAAGGTAGGCTGTAATTGTTTTAAGAGTTGGTAATTGATTTTGTAATCATAAAAATGATTTTCCTCCTACATATATACTTGACTTGACGTTGTTATTGAGCAAAGTGGAGTGATATTACAGAATGCTTAGCTGTTTTTGATGTGTCAATATACTTGGCTTGAATTTGTAATTGAGCAAGGAAGTAATTGTAACATGTCAGGTTGTATATTGTTTTATCGAGTCTAACTCCACTGTAATTTCATGTCTTTACTTGAGGAAAAGCAAAATTATAAGCTTGGGGGAGTTTGATAGAGTCATAAAATATAATATTTATACCTATTAAACTCTTGATTTTATATTGATATTTAATGGTTTAATAATATATTAAGTAATTTTCTTCCCGAGACACGTACTACTACTATTTTATTTATTTGTGTGTAGGAAAGAAAGTATTGGTACAAATTGCATTTTACGACACTTCCAGTTAAGAGAAGCAAATTGCAAGTGGTCGACTCTCAAGTATTTCAAGCCCAAAATTATTTTACTGGGTAAACATTTATAGTTGGGCTTAAAATACAACAATATGTCACAGAGCTCAAAACTCTTCTTTGCTCTCACTGTTATTGTCATTAACACACAAAACAAACCACCTTGAGCAAAATTTCTGGGATTGAAATGTCAAGCAAGAAATAAAGATGAAATTGGATAATAATTGGAGCAAGAAACTCGGATTAGCTGGAGATCAGCTACACTGAAACAGAAGGGAGGCTGTATTTCAGCAGAAAACGAAGGGGGTTTGGAGGGTACCAAATGACAGAGGAAGGAAGTTGAATTGCATGCGAGAACAGGTGACATTCTGGGCAGCAAAATTTAGCAACACAAACCAGAACGGACTCAGAGCAGCAGTGTAGCGGCGGTGAAGCGAATCCGAGTTGCTCTATTTCCTAATTATTAATGCTGCTAATTAATCGAGTCTAGAGAGCTTGTTTTAGATTCTTAGTTAGTTAGATAATATTCCAAGAGCTTGTTTGGTTTATTTGCAATTAAGGGAAGTTTTGGATACTAGTTAGTATTCATTAGTTAACATCAAGATATATGCATGATTTATGTAATTCAATGAACAATTGGTATTCCAATGCTATAATATATCTCCCGATCCCTATTTTGTCATTCTTGATTTTTAATATTTATTATTACTTTTAGTTTTATATCTCCGTACTTCGCTCATTTTCAAGTCCGTAGTTTTATATATTAGCTCATCTTCAAATCAAGGGTTTTTAACATACACAAGTAATAACTTGATAATCTTATTCTCTGTGGGATCGACCCTAGCTTACCCTACTACATTTTAGGAGGTTTTAGTTAGGTTTATTTTTGGTAGACACGCGATAGTCGTATCATGAGGTCCACAAACACCTTTGTTAGTATCCTCCATAAGGCGTGTGGTCTATACATAATAAGCTTTGACCATTTGTCCCTTTTTTACACAATCGACCATTAACAATCCCATAATGCACTGCGAGCGTTCTCAAGGCGCGCTGCTCTTTAGATGCAGTATTTTCAGGATATGTGCCATGAGTAATATATTGGAGGATATGATCATACAATCGGCCCCTTCAATGTCATTTAAGTCCTCGATCAATTGCATTGCGATAAGCTGGTTCATCTTTTCTAACACATAATGGCATCATATTTAAATGATTTATATAATCAAATCGCTCGATGAGTTGCTCTAGGTGTTCTTGGTATAATATCATTGTGGAGTTTTTGATTTTCCATTTTTTGAGTATATGATTTATTATTAAACTAGAATCTCCATATACCTCTTATTTTTGCACACCTATACTAGCTGCTGCTTCTAATCCAATAATGCACGCTTTACATTCCACGGCATTATTAGTAGCCTCAAAGTCCAGTTTGGCAGAGATTGGAGTATGTGCTCCCTCTGGACTTATGAGTAACACTCCTACGCCACACCCTCTTTGGTTGGATGCGCCATCGAACTACATTACCCACTTGTCGTCTTGCGTCATGACAATTTCTTTATCCGAAAATGAGTGGTTTCTTTATAACTTGTTTGAATGGGATGTTGGGCCAGAAAATCGGATATTACCTTTCCTTTTATATTTTTTTCAGGAATATATTTGAGGTCGAATTCGGCCAACATTGCCAACCACTTGGATATTCTTCCTTGTATGGGTGGTTGTTCAAACAAATATTTTATTGGATTGTGTTGAGAAATCACATGAGTGGTGTGGGGCAGCATTTAATGACGTAGTTTTTTAGTTGCCCACACTAATGCTAAACACATTTTTTCGAGAGTGTTATATCTTATTTCATATTGAATAAATTTTTTACTTATATATTATATTGAAGATTCTATTTTATCTACCTCTTGTGCGAGCTCTTGTGGCCGTGTCCGTGATAGTGATATAAAGTCTAAGAGGTAGTTTGGGTACTGGTGGTGCTAAAAGTGAAGGACTTTTGAGATAGCTTTTTACTTTCTCAAAGGCCTCTTGGCATTGGTCATCCCATTCATGTTTTTCTTCTTTTTTCAATTTTTTAAATATTGGCTCACAAGTCTTTGTCAACTTACTAATGAATCGGCTAATGTACTGTAATTTGCCAAGAAACCCCCAAATTTGTTTTCTGTTTGTGAGGGAGGCATGTCAATAATTGCCTTTATTTTCGAGGGATCAATCTCAATGCCACGTGTGCTTACTACGTATCCGAGTAACTTGCCGGAAGTTACTCCATAAGCGAATTCTTGTGGGATCAATCTCATCTTGTACTCTTTTATACGAGTAAAGAATTTGCATAAAGCTTTTACATGACCCATTCTATCTTTGGATTTTAAGATCATATCATCCACATATACCTCTATTTCTTTGTGCATCATATCATGCAAAAGAGTCGTAGACATTCTTTGCTACATAGCTCCTGCATTTTTAAGACCAAATGGCATGACTGTGTAGCAATAAGTACCCCAAGGGGTAATAAAGCATGTCTTTTCTTCAACTTCTTTTTCCATTAGAATTTGGTTGTAACCGGCGTATCCGTCCATGAAGGATAACATCGAGTGTTCAACCGTATTATCCACCAATATATCAATATGTGGTAGAGGGAAATCGTCTTTGGTACTAGCTTTGTTGAGGTCCCTAAAGTCGACACAGATGGAAATCGTCCATCCATTTTAGGGACTGGGACGATGTTCTCTTCCCATTCCAGGTGATTACATACGCGAATGACACCTGCGTCCAACTATTTTTGTACTTCTTCTTTTATTTTTAAAGCAACGTCAGATTTCATTCGTCGAAGTTTTTGTTTTACTAGTTTAGAGATAGGGTTCAAGGGTATGGTATGTTCCGCAATTTCCTTATCTATTCCAGGCATGTCCTTGTATGACCAAGAAAACACCTCTTCGAATTCTTTAAGCGTCGATATGAGATTCGATCGCTCTTCCGATATATGTTAAAGCCAATTTAGACTTCTTTCTTATTTTCATTTGTTCCTATATTGATCGTTTCAGTTTCTTCGATCACAAGATTCTTTTGTTCTCGTTCGTCCATTAATTCAATCAACTTATTAATGTCATCAACCTTTTTAGATTGATTATTGTAGCATTAAAAAGATTCAAGAGAAGGCATATACTCGGAAATAGAGCTCATATTATGGAAATCAAAAGAAAGTACATCAGGAGAGGAATCCTTTTTGGGATTCTCGTTCTTAGAACTAGAAAGTAAAGACTCAGTAATGGCCTCAAGGCCTAAATTCTCAACTTCCTTAAAATCAAAACTAGACTCGTCATTGGATTCTTCAAACATTTGTCCTTCGCCTGTGGTGATTTCCAGCTTATCACCCTTGTGGTTGTTCTTAGGTTGATGATGATGAGGCTTGTTTTCCTTTTCTTTGGCAAGATCATCTTCAATCCTAGTGGCCACAGAATAGACCATTTGAAAAGTGTCTAGACCAAGGTAGCGTAGATGCTTGTTGTACTTTTCGTTACAATTGTCAATGAATTTCTGTACTAACTCGAGTTCGGGCGGCCTTTGGGCATGGTGAGCTGCCTTTTCACGCCATCTACCATAGAAAGCAAGGAAACCTTCATCGTCTCCTTACTTAAGCATTTCAAGTTCACACAAAGTTGATTTAAACTCTAAGTTACTCTCATATTGGGTGATGAAAGCCAAAACTACATCTTCCCATGTGTTTATGAATTTGGCATCTAGCCCATAGTACCACTCTCTTGAGGCTGGGTCTAGAGATAAAGGGAATGTCAAAGCATAGAGGTTAGGATCAACTCCCTTTAGAGCCATGGTGCCGGTAAAACTCATTAAATGATTTTTGGATTATTGGTCACCTTAAATATTGGTAAGTCTGTAGCTACAAACTTTTCAAGTAAAGTAAGTCCCACGGGAGGAGCAAACTTTTCTGCGTCAAAGTACTTGTTCCCCATAGTAAGTCCAACATCTTCTCTCGTTCAGCTAAAGCATCCATTTTTGTTTTATAGCTAAAGCCTCGGCCTCTTTCCTTTTGGCCTTTTCAATTTTCTTGATTCTTCTAGCCTCGGCTTCTTGAACCTTTTCCTCTCATGCGAATAATATCTTGTTAGAGTTGTTCGATGGTTGACCGTTGGACTAGATTAGTTGACAAAGGGAGATGATTCGAAAGGGGTAGATTGTTTGATGGTAAACGTAGAATGCGAGTGCCCCGGTGTCTTCGTTCCCATGCTTGGTAACCAACCTTAAAGGAAATACGAGAAGTTAAGAAAACTTACATGCTTGCTTAAAAAAGAAAGAAAAGGAAAGAAAGTGAAAGGAAGAAAAAAGACGCAAATTACGTTCAAAGAGACATCATCGCCTTACAACAATTCATAAATAACGAAATTGTTTGGACGAGCAAATAGTTCACGAAGAATAAAAATGGTCTCGCAGTAGAAGACGCGCGCAAGCTACTAGGTCACGCGCAGTAGGCGCGCGGCCCAAGAACTTGCACTTTGCGTGGTCGCGCAACTCATTAAGTTGCGCGCGCCACCTGTTCGAGCAGGATTTTTTCTTCAAACGATGGTATTTTCTTTATTATGTTTGTTTTTTTTTTTTTTTAATTTTTTTAACGTTTTTTTTAATCATATGGTATCCATTGAACGTTACTCAAAACTACGAAGGGAAAACTTCGTAGTTGGGAACCTAAGTTAAGACTAAAAAGGAGGAAAAAAAACTATTTTATACACGTGGCAAATAGTCATGTAATCACATAAGCATACGAGAAAACCATTAAATTACATTAATGCCATTCTAAGGTCAAGGTTTTGGGTGTCCAAGGGTACTATATATTAAGGAACGATGCACGAATCAATCGCTCGACGTGTTGACCCAAGACATAACTCTCCCAACATTTTGCGATATGGGTGGGATGATTGTTATTGATTTTGGGATAGAAGCCTGGTGTTGGCGACCCCTAGACAATAAGTCATTCCCCAATGGTTAAAAGGTGCTTATGATTATGCATGATGCAATGTTGCTTGTTTGGCTTTTACATTCGTGAAAAAGGAAGATATTATGCATTCAAGTCTTGCTCTCTAACTAGAGATTATCCGAGTTACCCCTCGTTACAACTCACAGGTAACCAAAGTTGAAAACCTTGAACCATAACTAAGAACATCTTGTAACCTCTAAGTCCCCAGTGGAGTCGCCACTTTGAGGAGAGTGTGCCCATTGCAGGGGATTCTTCTCCTCTATGCCCATGGCCCTTTAAAATCCTAGGACTTTACACTTTTTAGGGTGTGTTAGGATTTGAATTATTCCTGACTGTTTGGTGACCTTGAATAAGAGTTGATCCTATCATTATGCTTTTTTATAAGAAACTAATAAGGAGTCGCCAATGAGTTTTAGGAAAACTCATAAACCTTGTTCATGCCTTTTGCCCAAGTAGTTTTGCAAGGGATATTTAGCATGAATCATAAGTTTACCCATGCCCAAATTGGTCTACTTTTACCAAAAATGAGTTCGGGAGCGGGGTACTAAAATATCGTTCCTTTTAGGGAGGAATCGCTATTCTAACCCAAGTGCGGCCTCTACTAGCTCTTCCTTTTTCCCAATTTCATTACCAAACAATATATGCAACCTGATACCTAAAACTAAGTTAGTTGATTTTATTTACATGCGTCAATC